GTAATTATATCCACAGTATAACCTGGAATTAGGGAAAGGTTCTTCCCCCAGAGGGTGGTTGGGCACTGCCCAGGCTCCCCAGGGCAGTGGACACAGCCCCAAGGCTGCCAGAGCTCCAGGAGGGTTTGGATGATCCTCTCAGGCACATGGGGATGGACCTGTGCAGGGCCAGGAGTTGGACTGGATGATCCTTGGGGGTCCCTTCCAACTCGGCACATTCTGTGATTCTGAGCGTGTAAAACCCCAGGAAGGTGCTCAGAGCCCTCCTGATGACTTTGGCAGCTTGGCAGTGACACAAGAAAGCCACAGGCAGAGGGAAAGGGGTGCCAGGCAGTCCACAAACGAAGGCTGGGTCCCCAAATCTGGTGCTGATCTCACGGCAGGGATGTTGGACTCCAAATGGGAGCATCAGCTTTAAAATCCACGCTGTGTGAGCACAAACAGGCCCTGCTGGGAAGCCTGGAACTGACATTCCAACAAACAAACAAACAATAAATCCAGAGTTACTGGCACTGGGTGCAGTGCCCAGCAAAGCTCATGGCTCTGCTGTCCTTTCTCCACAGCGGAATTCCAGGCTCTCTGCAGCAGCGGCATCGGGATAACGGCTGATGGCAGAGGTTTGTGCAGCCCAAGCCCTGGACTCATCTCCTGTCACCCTTAGGGTTTGGTCACACCCTCCTTTTGGGTTTGGTCATGTCATCTCCAGGGTTTTGGGTTTGTGGGTTTGATGGTTTCATCTCCAGGGTTTTGGGTTTGTGGGTTTGGTGGTTTCATCTCCAGGTTTTGTGTTTGTGGGTTTGGTGGTTTCATCTCCAGAGTTTTGGGTCTGAGGGTTTGGTTGTTTCATCTCCAGGGTTTTGGGTTGGGGGGTTTGGTTGTTTCATCTCCAGCTTTTGCATTTATGGGTTTGGTGGTTTTGTCTCCAGCTTTTGGGTTTGTGGGTTTGGTCATTTCATCTCCAGGTTTTGTGGGTTTGATGGTTTCATCTCCAGGGTTTTGAGTGGCACCAGGAGTGATGTGGCACCGGGAGGCTGTGCCAGGAGAGCCTTGGCACTGCCGGCTGTGCTTGAGGGTTGGCACAGCCCATGTATGTGTGAGAGCTGAGCATGAGGGGGCACAGGGGGGGCTTTCAGAGCCTGGATGGGTTTTAATGCCTGCAAGAACCTCCCTCTGTGCCAGTGGGTGGGATGTGAGTTGGGCACAGGGAGGAGGAGAAACGGGCGCTGTGGGATTTTTTTCCCCCCTCCCCAAACCACCACGAGCTGGTGTTGAGTAACTATCCCTGAGGACTGAGGGCTGGATTCCTGGCACCCCTGTGGGAGCTGCATTTCTGGGGATGCTCCCACGGAGTTTGGCTTCACTCCCTGCTTTGATGGCAACGACTGAGCGTGACCAACTCCATCCTCTTGGTTGTTTCCCTCCGGCTCCTCCGGGGTGGGAGAGGAGGGTCCTGAGTCTCCCAGGGAGAGGGAGGTGATAAGTGTGTGTGTGGGGGGGGCTGCTTTTAGTCACAGTGCCAGCCCTGGGCAGTGCTTGGACCAGCAGGGAGAGAACAAAGCAGCCAGATAACAACCTCTCAAAACCTTCCAAATGGGAATGAGCCAGAGGCAAAACCCTGGTGACTTCTTGGGCTTCCAGCCAGGGCACCGTGTCCTGGCCAGAGTCAGGCTCAGGGTAATGATAAGGCTCTTTCTAGCAAGGAATTGTGTCATATTTTAGTATCCCAGCCCAGACTTCTCCATTCCAGAAAGACAAATGGCCAAATTAACCAGATCCATGAAAATGTACTGGATACTTAATGAAATATCAGATGTAAGTCTTTGTGTAGGCAAGTGGATGAAGCCCAGAGAGCTCAACAGATCACATTTACTGAAACAAGATCTTCACTGATTGTATCAGTCACTTTGGCAGCTCATAAATAGACTTTGATACTAATATTTAATCAGTTTGATGGGTTATACTTCCTAAGTGAGAAATGTCTCTTTGATTCTTCAGATCTGAGAGTATGGAACTAATAATCTCTAGGTGTAAATATGCATTTGACCAGAATCTCTTGGTCTTCATCCACCTCTAACATATTAAAATCAATGCGGCATAAAATAGTCTGAAAAAAATATATATGTATAAAGCCCTGGTCAGCCCAGCCCTGCCCACAGGCACACTCTGAGCTCTCCAGGGCTGCTTTTCCCTGGATGGAACTGAACTCCAACTGCCTGGAGACAAAGGCCAGCAGTGTCTGGGAAGGGCTGGCCTGGGCCTGTGGCCATCTGGCACCGTGGCACTGCCAGGGCACTGCTGGGCCTGCCCTGGGCTGGTTCTTGCCAGGGTGAAACCTCTTTGCCTAGGCTCCAGAACAAGCAGGGAGGTGATGCTGTTGCAGAGGAAGAGGTGCTGCCCACCTGGCTGCCACCCTTCAGGGGCACTGGGTGCTGAATGCAGGGATAATTAATCCCAGAGCTGAGCACCGGGATAAAAGCACTATTGGAAGACTCAGGAATGTGACAGAAGGAGCTGAGAGCCCTCCTGGAACTGGGCTTATCTCATCCCCTTATCCAGCTCCTCCTGAGCTCAGAGCTCTGTGCCAGATCAGCTGTGTATTCCCAGCTCCAGAGGCAGAGGAACAAGGTTCCCCAGGATATACTGGATCAAAGCAGGAAAGTAGGCAGGACAGGGGGAAGTGGTGGATGCCCCTGCTGGGATGTGCTCAAGGCCAGGCATGACAGGGCTTGGAGCAACCTGGGCTAGTGGAGATGTCCCTGCCCATGGCAGGGGGTGGGACTGGGTGTGTTTTAAGGTCCCTTCTCACCCAAACCAGTCTGGGATTGTGCTTCTGGCTGTGGGTGGACACGAGGAACGAGGAGGGCTGGGGAGATGGAATGTCCTGGTGTTTCCCTTCGCTGTGGTCCATCCCATTTGACTTTTCTCTCTGCCAGACATCAACGAGTGTGCCCTGAACCCGGACATCTGCCCCAACGGGATGTGTGAGAACCTGCGGGGCAGCTACCGCTGCATCTGCAACCTGGGCTACGAGTCTGACCCCACGGGCAAGAACTGCGTGGGTGAGTCCAGGGCACGGGGTGGGCAGAGGGGGGCAGGAGCCAGAACCTCCAGGTGATGCCCACAAGCCCTGTCCCCGCTCAGTGCTGCCTCATTGTGCTGGTTTAAAGGTGAACCAGCAGGGGAAATGAACTCAGCTCAAAGGAGAGGTTATAAATCAGAATAACGATTTAATAAAATAATACAATAAATAAGATTATACAGACAAACAGTTGGTTTTAACCCACAAAACCCAAATGTACAACCCAGCAGCCTGGGGCATGAACAGAGTGGTGTTCTTTGGGCCCCTCTGAGCCCAAAGTAAAAGGAGAGGGGAAAAA